AATCGTGATAATTTTTACCGTGATATGAGTCACCATATATACTATCCATATCTAACAATGATGAAGTACATATAGTTTGTAAACTATTAATGATCAAATAGGTAAGCAATATCAAATTGTATTATACATTCCTAACATTCTGTCTAAACCTAATCTCATTGTCATTAGTTCTAAATTCATTGTTAATCAATGAACTTTATAAAAACATGAGTTATTCATAATTCATTCATTTGTTCCAGCACCTACTACTATTCGGTTTTGGGTAATATTATTTCATTTCTTAATGATCATTAAAGAAAACTCTTAATAATTTTATACTTCAAAAGTAGATGAAACATAAGTACATAGTTGCATTTGAGTGAACTATAATTTTGCAAAAAAAAGCTAACTGTAAATTCAATTGTATTACAGAAAATATAATTTTTGAATAATAAATATTTTCAGAATGGGTTTGTGGAGATTTTAGAAATTTCATAGATTGAAATCATGAGTCAATTGAAGCTAGATCACCATGGAAAACCTGGAAGCAATGGACGGCCGTTTCGTCCTAGTATGGGACTCCTCAACAGTGCGCATCCACGACCCCGCACCCCGCGAGATCATCTGTTCACTAGTGACTGACTTCAAGGGATACTCCTGGAGTTCTAATGAGAAGCCGTTACCAGTGGAGTTTAATCAGGTCTGTTGTGAGATATCAACTCACTGAAGACAATGGTGTGCGGTGGCGCAACTTCGTGGATTGGTCGAAGTTAGACATTAACAACATTGGATACCGGCTCAGTGGTCTAGTTGGTTAAGCGCCTGGTGCGAGACTGAAAGGTCCTGGGTTCGAATCCTGCGGGGTGTGGGATCGTGGATGAGCACTGCTGAGGAGTCCCATACTGGGACGAAACGGACGTCCAGTGCTTCCAGGTTTTTCATGGTGGTTCAGCTTCAATTGACTCATGATTTCAATCTGTAATAAATATTTGTAAGAAGCATAGAAATTATATATAGCCTAGTATATGTAAAATAATTAAGACATTTTCGATTAATTCTACTCATGTATGGATGATGGTTCGATACTATGAGTTATAAAGAGATTCACAACTGCAATTGATATTTATAGTATAGAAACAAAATAAGTAGGATTGGAAGAGATTTTAACAAAACATCTAAAATATTTACTGAAGTTCATACTTCTAATTTTAATCTCAGAGAAAAACATTTATAAGCAAGCAATTCAGTTAGATTGAATAAAGCCAGAACAACAATTAAGATAATATAAATTCATTATATTTCTTGGATTCTTATTAGCTGCTTACAACCATATATGTATTAAAGTGTAGCAGTGAGATATGATATAACAAGAGTTCATCAACATTGATGACAGAAAGAATAAAAATAAAAATGGTTATCAATAATAAATGTATATATTAATCTGTACATGAACAGGTGTGAACTCATTTGGAGTTACTTGAGTTTCTCTCTTCTGAGTCTATTTACAAATTCAGGTGGTTCTCTGAAGATAGTTAGATTAGGCGTGTTACTGGGAAAATTAACCAACAAACGAGTGAACATCTATCTGTGTGTTGTTTGCTTGAATCTTCCCATTAATGTTTAGGACCGCAATTGATCAGTATGCACATATGCTAATAATAGACTGATAAATTGCAGTCCTGAACATCATTGGGAAGGTTCAAGCAAACAATATTAAGTGAATCTAAGCTTCACCCCAATGCACAAGCAAGTAGCTATCAGGATTCAATAGATAAGTGGATAACGCGATGGCGTTTGAAGCGAACGGTACTGAGTGTGAGTCCCAGAGTTAACATCAACTCTTGGGAAGTAGGTACATCCAGATGACGAGTCCCAAACAGGACATAACGTGCGTCCTGGATTCCACTGCTAATCATCATTCATCTTTGCTTATCTATCTGTGGTTTGGAAAGGGCCAAATGAAAACAATACGTAGTTCCATTTCAGTATACCTCGTTAATAGTGATTATGTGGTAGATAAAAGCAAATTATTTCGAGTTATCTATCGTATGCCTTCATTGTATCCTAAAGGTGTACAGTTCTGTCTCTTACATTCACTAGAAGCTATAGGGATTTGAACCTATGACCCTAGTTTATGTGTTCAAAAGGAATTTGTATGAATTCTGTCCTTTCCCTTAGTCAGATGTGACTTAACAAATATTTTATCATTTTTCACTTCCGTTGATATTCTTCAAAACCTAATTCTTTACATACTTATAACGTTATTTTAAGTGTTTTGTGATCATTATTCTAAAGTTTGTTTATCTAAGTTTGACCTACTTTCTATGTTGAACTATTGTATAGAATTGATGTGATATTATTATTACTATCAATTTGCAATTTTTACTTATTATATGTAGTTATGCAATCTACTTACTTCACTATGATCATTGACTAATAATGAATTGCATTGATTTGTTTTATATCTTCACATAAATATTCATGTATATTAGAGTAAAATTCAGATGATGATCTAATTGAAAACGATATTATTCGCTAATACATGTTATTTTAATTTTAACAATATGAATTCTTAATAATTAAGGAATAGTTGAGTCTCAAAATTTACTGTCTTCAATGGTAATGCTAACAACTTCCTTAGGGTCTTTTAGAGTGAAAATATGACATTTTCTTAATGATTTAACTTAGTACTTTATATTTACCCATAAAAACGTTTAATTCTCTTATATTTTCGCTTTGTTTTCAAGTTTCTATATGAAAGAGTCAATGACCAATACTTAGTAAACATTGAGTTGGATGAAGTTAATACCTATTCTATTTCGTGTACAATTATTTGAATAGATAGCATGTTTAATTTGCTGAAGTGACTACTAAAAATAAATGGTTTTGAAATGAAAGTGGTGAGACTAAGGTTTACGGATGAACCAATCAGATTAAAAATAGCGAATCATGGATTTTAGGGTGTAATTCATTTATCTATATGGCTAAATAGTATACTGGCCTTACAGATACAGTCATTTTAAGATGAAAACCCTAATTCTTACCCTTAACCCTGACTTCTAACTCTAGACACCAAACCTAATATTTCATAATAATTTATAATGCTCTTTAGACCCTATAAAGTGAGTTTTCTCGAGGCCACTTTAGCGTTGCTTAAAGGTCATTCATAGATTATAGTCTTAACATGAAAGCTAGGACACGAATGACAACGGTCGCTAACTAATAAAGTCTATAAAAATGAATAAATTGAAACTTCAGGTATTCAATCAAAGATTTTATCAAAACATTATTATATATTTATCTCTGAAACATGTGAATCAACTTAAAACAGTAGGTATGTAAACCGGACATCGTAATATTCTATCATCTATGAGTCATCGAATATATATATATTCAAAAATGTCAATGATAAACAAAGTAGGACCGATGGACATTTGTGCATCGTTTCACAACTTCACACCAAAGGCACAGTGAGAAAGTTAAAATCAACAGAAAGAAAATAAAAGTAGTCGAGATAATAATGATGAAAAAGCCAAACATGAACAATCTAGATTGAGAACAAAAAACGTTTGTGAGGGAAAGGTGCTATATAATATTAAAAATCAAGTATAAGATAAAGAGAGAGAGAGTGAATGTGTTTCATGCCATTACGACCATTTCGGTAATACGTCATCTAAAGTCTTCAATCGCCAATCAGAAACCCTCAACCGTAGCTCAATTCAAGTGGTAATCAGTCCATTGATTATTCTAATGTTTTGATTTGGTTAACCATAGTTTTCCTTAAACTATCTCCAATGTCAGTTACTAGTGTATATCTGAGTATAGAAGGGTCAGGCGTGCAAAATATACATCTCAGTGATATAGGACGATGTAATCTCACAGCTTCATTAATCCAACTACTATTGTTACTGTCGTAATTCAGATCTATTTGATCATGTAACACAATCACACATATCAAACCACTTGATCGAGAACCATGTATCAATCACAACAAGAATACACTGATACAAACAAGCAGACAGGATGAAAAAAATTCACAACAGAAAACAACTCCTTATAGTGGTTTAACGTGAAGTATCTATCTCACTTCACTTGCAATCGATATCTCAGCTATCTATCACCCTATACCAAACCTTAGCACTACTTAATTGACGATTTCTACGTTATACCTCAGTTTTGAAGATATCTATGATTGAGTAATGACAGATTACACACATCTTGAAACCTGTGAAGCTAAATTCCACAGTCAATCTATATAAAAAGAAAACTTAATTAGTTTTACGCCATATGAATGTTAATAGTAGTTGAGTATAATCTGCTCAAGTGAGTATCAAGAATTATATTCATTTCAAGTTGCTGATGTCAATTTCAATTTATCCTTTTTCAGCACTTTCAGATACATTTTGTAAATCGTTATTGAATAATTCAAAGTAACGTCATGATTACATTTTAAAGAAAAATACTTAATCAGTGAAAGAACAATTGTTTTCTCTATTATTGCTTTCTTTTCAATGGTTGGATAAATGTCAACTGGATGTGAATCCAGTAACTCCATTTATTTATAGTATCGTCCTTGTAATAATAATAATAATATAGTATCCTAGTTATTTTAAGAAATTATTATCTCGTATTACTGAACAACTTTTAATTAAAACGCACGGGACACTAATAGAAATCAGATCTATAAACTAATTCCGATTCGATCAATTACACATTAGCTACTACTAAGATTAATACATTGATTTGTAGACATGAAACATTAAAGTGTTAATCTACTATTGGTTAAAGCGTTTAGTTTGCAATGATCAGATCGCATGCATAACACTTGCTATACATAATTGTACAAACGGTTAATATTATTAATCTTTATTACACAAACCATGTATTTGTCTTCAAGCTGAGTATAATAAACTTGTACTTGAGAAGTAAAATATATGAACGTAATATAAGATAAGTAAGTAATCAATTCATCTAATCTACACAACCAATAAAAAATTGAAAAAAAAAAACAACAGCCTTACTCTTAAGCGTTCTTCAGCCTCTGTTCCACTTAGGCCAGCATTTTGAACAAGTTTCCAAAAACAAGTATTATATAGATTGTTGATATGACCTTGGATAAATATAAAGGAAATAATTACAGTTAAATTTTCAGTACACAGTATAAGCGTTTAATTATTATGAATAGAATGGTTTATGTGAATTAGATACGCAATGTTTAACAATTTAGGGAACAGGATAAAAAAAACTGAGTGTGCTTTCTTTAAATCCGTAATACACAATAACTAAAAAACGTACGAATTATAAATGTGAGAAAAATATAAACCTTATATTAAACAAAAACGTTACTCGGCTAGTATACTAAAGTCTAAGATGTATTCATTCACTATCTGTCTCGCTTTTTTTCGCTGTTATATATGCGTGGAATATAACATTTCCCAAAGATTTTGTATCAGATCTGTGAAATTGCATTGTCAATTGAGATTAGTTTTAGTAAAACATACAAAATCGATCATAGGAATTTCAAAACAATGCAGTTGAAGAGGGCTTCGACCACGCTCTTGTCAGCATACATAAGAATCATGTAAATAGATCACTTAGTGGCAATCAATCTAATATTGGTTTAGTCTTTGGTGCTGTCCAGGTTTCAGTATGATCACTAGTCTAAACAACCTGACATAGTGCAGGACTTTAGTTATACCTTAAATGGAGTAGTGGTGACTGATTTTAAGACGCTAACACAAGGGTTAAAATCCAACAAAGGAGCAACAGTTTCTTTTAATAGTGCAGATAAGTGTTTCCGACGACTGCCAACTGGCACAAAACCATAGTCAAAAATTTACTGCTGATTGATTTCAACAACCCGACATTAGAACAAGGAATATATTCAACCAAAACTTAAGCCTAGCTACGTAAATAATGTTTTTTAATCCTAATGTAGACACGATAAAGAGATTAATTATATCCAACGTTATCGATGTCATACGACTTAATATCTGTTTTGTTGTAAAAAAACAAAATCAGTGAAAAAGTATGCTTCAGTTAATCCATTTGTCTATTTTCTTGACCAACTAATCGTTGTTATACGTTCTACCATTTCAAAATACCACACTTATGTGCTTCCTGACATTTCTGCATCAGTATATTTTGAAATTGTAGGTATATATATATATATATATATATATATATATATATATATATATATATATATATATATATATGGAAAAACCCAAGAATTCATTGATGAAGACCTTAGAAACCGGGAAAGGGCTAAAAACGTCGCGTCCTACCAGCACCCAATAGAGACTTTCCTGAAGCATCTAGAAAAAATAAGGATGATGTGTCACAATTAGACAACGAAAAACCAGATAATTTTATCAGGTTAACATCAAAACGAATGTAATTTTCTCTCTAACAACAAAATGTGAGAGTATGAACTTAATCATTAAGAAAAGAATTATGGGTTTGAGTGTTATAAAAATATCTGCTAAATATATCTAAGTGCAAACATTTTTCTCTTCCAAATGTATGAACATTTTGAATATCCAGCTGTAGCCATGTTCGAATTTGAATTTACGCTATTAATAGCCTGATTACTAAGGCTAACTGTTTGTAAAATGTTATTCACTGCACAAATTATTGGGTCTGTATCAGTCTTAAAATAATGATAACCGACTATACCAACTTTAAAATTATTTTTATATTAGCATTATTTCACCAGTTTTAGTGCATATGGTATGTGAAGAGGAATTGAATACAAGATGAACGTATCACCTTATTCGTTACTTGTCAATTGGATGCACTTCCATCCCAAGATCCAGAATTCAGGTTTCAGTATAAACATCGACACTGGGAATCAGATATATTCAGCTGATGAGTCATAAATGGGACGAAACGGGCCTTATGTATTCCCCTGTTAGTCACGAAATATACTTTAAAATCAACTTTATTTACAACATAAACTACAACACACCAACTACTCATCTATCAATATGGATCAAAAGTTAAATGATAAAAAATACCATCTTTTACAACTATCTTCGTAAATAATTGAGGAAGATATGAGATCTCTATAGAGTTCCAGGTCAATTCACATTGAATAGGCAAGTTGACACAGGCTTGATCTATCAACCGAAAAGCCAAAGTATATTAAACAGAATCCAAAAGCAAACCTTCATAATTTAACCACCACTGAACTCAAAAACAATATATAACCATAAATTATTTATTATTACCTATGACTACACATTATCTATATTTTATCAATAAGTATGAAGACCTTAATACATAAATGACAAATCTGTATTATTTAGCTAGTTGTTCGGTTTATATAAAAACATTGATTTATGAATGAAATAGAAGGAAATCTTAATTTTGCTTGTAAAATGTTTGATGTAATATTATAAACATGAAGTAGAATGGAAATCGTATGGTAACTGGTATTATTGATGATTCTTGACTTTATATTTTGATATCATGTTTCATGATTATTGAGCGAACAAAAACATTCAGTTTCACGTGCTATATGCGAATGGATCTAGTGTTTGAAAGAGTTATAACTTGTGGCATTTGTTGGGAACTGATGTAACCAGATCAACTAAATTGCTATTGTCTGAAGAGAAATTAAACACTGTCATGAATTCCATGCCATACAACTGATCAGTGGTTGAACACATTTATACATTATAGTTAAATAATTAATGGTACATTTTTACTGCAATTCCTATCCTTCCACCTATCTTATCGGTTGGTAATTAAATCAAATATATTCTGGCTTGTTCAGCTGATGTGTTTTTTTTCTCTGAAACTCATTCATCCCATTTTCAGTCCAAATAACTGTTTACTATATATTAATCGGTGTTACATCAGAAATTTTAAATGATCTGGCTCAAAATATACTATAGCAGAGCAATTCATTTTATTTTTCTTTAAATCTAGGTTTTTTAAGTATCACTCTAAATATTTCATTTTTGATGTCGTTTATTATTTCTAGGCTAAATTTGGCTTGTAAAGTAGACATTCATCTCCACTGTTTCTCATTCTCTTAAATTCTATTTGAACTGATATGTGTAAATCCCATCCACGTTGTATCCCTACGATGATAATACTTATAGGATTTGTTAGTATCCAAACTCATTATTCTTTATTTTCTACCCCCTCCATACTTTACTATTCTGTAAACTCTCAATAAAAAAATAACCTTATAATATGGTGCACAAATATGAACACTATTAATAAAAATTAGTTGTTATAGGGAGTTTATTTCCTTATAAATGTAATATTTAGTAATTACTTGCTGCCTTGAACACTGATATTATTATTACAATAACTATCAGAAGTTTACTCCAAATCCACTAGTTTGTTTATGAAAGGATACAAAGAATTAAGTATCAAAATTAAAACAAATATAATTAACAGTATGGTCATATAGATATACACACCTTATCTGAGATATTGACACAAATTTAGCGATATTTATGCAGTGAACTGTCATACACTTAAGTATATTTTTTTATAATCAACAACGGTAATATTATAAGTAAGGTTGATTAGAGAAAAAAACACTCAATACTACATGGCCTTATATTCTTAGAAATTAATGTTAAACTCATGAGTGCATAATACTACTATTAATTGACGCTATCAATAAAACATATATTCAAAAGACGATAGAAATCGACCTTATTTATTATAGTATAAATAAAATCAACTAACTACTTCTTAATATCAGAAGGGGTATTGTGGATATTATAGTACTTTCAATTTTGTGGATTAGTTGAAGTTAGACATTAACACCGATGGATGCCAGCTCAGTGGCATAGTGGTTAAGCGCTCGCGCGCGAGACTGATAGGTCCTGGGTTCAAATCTCGCGGAGGGCAGGATCGCGGATGCGCACTGCTGAGGAGTCCAAAATTGGACGAAACGGTCGTCCAGTGCCTCCAGGTTTTCCATGGTGGTCTAACTTCAAATGACCAATGATCTCAACTATTTAATATTCTGCAGGACTCGCGAAAGACGATAAACTATGTGATGTAACTACACGACTTAATATTGTGGTCAATTGACAAGAAAAGGACTTCAAAATCTAGACTTGAATCACTACTAACTTAATTTTGAAATCTAATCGCTTACCATAACTCAGTCTACACTTCGTGAAACAAACATTATTCCGAAATGAATATCTCTTAAATTATGACAAAAACCTATTTATAATTAGCAAAACCAAAATTCAAACTAGTCAAAGTACATTGACCAGAAATACTGAGCAATAGACCAACTAACATATTGCCTCAAACCTCTTGGAAAAGTAATCAATAAAGTTGAGCCTAATTGTATCAGTCATCACTACAAATACATTCGTCTTAATTGCTACAAATTGAGGGACAACAGTATATTACATAATTAGTAGATTAAATAATACTACATACATGTACCATTATTTATTTTCCCATATTGCATACTTCATGTTTGAATAAGGTTGAATACAAGACAAATATAGAAAATATCTGCCATAATTGAGGATTTTTTCAAAGAATAATAAAATCATCCCTGCCAAATAATCTATAGTCGAAAATATGCGTGTGATTTTATGAACAATCAAGCTTTACAACTACTTAATAACTGAACAGACAAGCATGACGTGAGACACCACTCAGTGATCAATCAAATGTAAATACCTCACTCCTACAGGTCAGTCGATGCCCAAAAAGCTTGATGGTAACACACGAAACAGTGCAGCTGGGTGGTGCGCGTCTGAACTAGTTCTCTCAAGATTTCCAGTATGCCTAGCTGAGGGCTTTCAACTAGAACAAAACCTTAATCCAGCGTTCTCGGTTAAGTACCGCGATCACTTAACATTTAGGCTTTCTACTGGCCATTTGGCAGTTCCGCTGAAACATCCACAAAATGTAGTAGGAGTGACAGATAACGTTGTTTATAACGAAAAAAATAATTAGTAAATATCAAACGAAGACAGTGTAGTAATTACAGTGAAATTTTACCGGTGATTATCTTTTTAAAGACGTATTCTAATAATGCAATGGAAAGACGAAGTTTGTCCAAGTTCATAAACAATAATGAAAAAATCAAATACAATCCCTGATAATCACTGAACAGTTAAGTATATGTAATTCTTCTTTCTGATATACAGGTTGAAAATATATCTTAAGGAAACGACTACAGAAATATATTTGCCTGATTACCAAATTGTACTTAAGCTTTAGAGAATATCACAGAAGAGAAATACGTATCATTGTAACAAACTTACAGGTACAACAACAAAATTCCTTCAGTACCACTTATATATAATTGGCTAAGTATGATTTTGCCGTCTGAGAGTTACTGATCATCCACTTAAAAAGTTTACAAATTTTTTCAGTCACATTAATAGCTGCAAATATTATAAGCTCATAATAAAACTGAGTGTTCAGATAAATGAGTTTTATGAGTTGGTTTTATTTTGACACTGTTTTCAACAAAATTAATAATCATTGCTTTGATCCACGATAGAGGTATACAAATATCAATCTTAACAGTACCATTGTAGTATATGCTACTTATGTTGATAGATATAAGTAGTATGTAACACCAATCAGAAGTGGAATGCCAAGCAGCAGAAGATTGAGAAGATCGAATTGAAAAGAACAGGAAGAGAAACAGAGAGCAATTGTAATAACAACAGAATTGAAGGAATCATGAAGCATGTAAAGGACAACTGAAGGAAGATGTGCAAATACTGTATTTAATGTATGGTTTTCATATTTTAAGAAATCACTCTGTAACTTTGCAATAAACAATAAATTGGTCTTCCTCACCTGAGTGTTCGTTTACTACACCATTATCACTATTTTTGAAAACTAACAAAAATGCACTTTAGTAATTAATAGTCAGAATACGGTATAGAATTGTTTGCATAAGTTTTTAGTAGATAAAATTCATTCTTATAAACTGAGAAACAAATACATATATGTGTACACACTTGTATTGTGTATTGATCATAATGAGTCTCTGACAGAATGAAAATAAAAAAAGTAATTTTTTCTCTCAAATGGACCATTAAGAAGTATTTCAGAGCACTGTAGTAGAAAAAATGTATTGTATTATTATCACACCACAAATACCTTGTTACGTAAATATTTTGTTTTTGTATTTTAATGAATCCTTTAAAAATAGTAGTAAATGTGAATAGATAGTTTCAGTGTACATTAGCAGGTCTGATAAATGACAAAGAATATATATGTGTATATCTCAAAGTACATTCAAAATAGATATAATGCATTTAAATGGCATAATAATGACTGAAAAACATTTTTAACAGACTAAGAAATGAATTAAATACACTACTTGATTACTAAATAGTAACTAATGCCATACAATCTAGTCCTTAATGATACTTAAGATGTAATATGATCATCACTGATCTAAGTGACTTATATTGTAGTAAACTATGTTTGATGTTGAATTAAAAAATCTTAAAGTACTTTATTCCCATTAAGATTGTAAACAAGTGTCGATTAGAAATTCCTATAGATCCCAACCCACCATCAGATATCAAACACAGTTCACCGTAATATTGAGTCATTACCACTGATTTCCATTTGTCGAAATGATTGATAAAACCTGAATAACACTAACGATGTGAGGCAATGGAAGACAGTCGTCCTACACCGTAGACTGTTGAGATTTAGACATTGACACCATTGGGTGCCGGCTAAGTGGTATAGAGGTTAGGTGTTTTCGTGAGAGGCTGAAGGTTATGGGTCCGAATCCCGCGTGCGGGGTCGTGGATGCGCATTGATGAACTGAGAAGTCCCATAATAAGACGAAGCGGTTATCCAACGCTTCCAGGTTTCCAATGGTGATCTAACTTCAATCACTTCATGATATATATATATGAGTTAGACTGACTAATTTGGTGGAGTTTTGTTCTCTGAGCTGGATGGTTTGGTCGTGGAGCTTTCATCGTTCTTCTGAACGACATCATCAGCACAAACTTCAGATAGAAGTGAAGTGTTTGAATTTCAAACGATGAAAGCTCCACGACCAAACCATCCAGCTCAGAGAACAAAACTCCACCAAAATCATCCACCTGAGCTACAAATCTTCTCCACCATCTTAGACTGACTATATTAATCACAATAGTTTATGTTAACATTTATGCTATTAATTGTGTTCGTTAAATGCCTAATGACTGTTTAGATTAGTTGTCTGAAAACAAATTCTATTGTAACTATTATTTAAACCAAATTAATACAGATTATATATTTAATCATTGTAACAGTGTATGTAATGATAACAACAGTAAAAGAAGCTTATCATTATCAACTCGCGGTTTATTTGCACTTTTATGGCTGAGTGCGATTTTTTCATCTCCCCATTAATAAAAATAGATTTGCTAGTCAGTCAAGTAACACGAACTCTAGTGTGAAAAATGCACTTAAACAATGTACCAAACCTGTAAGTGCGAAACCAATGTTTCCGGTATATTTGTTTATTACTATAAATGGTAACATATAGACAATGCTAACCTTTCTATTACGAATTTTCGTATAATTGTGAAAAGACATCATTAAATTTACGTGAGACAAACAAACAGTAACATGTTAACCAGAGAGTCTGGTGACTCTTGGTCCCAAATCATTAGGGGGAGAAAGAATTATTTTATAATTACTAGTTTCCAGAGTTTATTTTAACTAATCACAGTTCGAAATATGAATCATATATAGGCATTTTTATCTATTTCGTTTAGGCCGATGGTGTTTTGTGGATATTGATATGTAGTTTTTTTCTTTATTTAAACGCATAAACATTGATACAAGGTGGCACCAAATTTATATGCGCCACAGTTCATTATTCTATTTGTGTGAGGGCTGGAATACTGAACTAGTGCCCCGAGCCTTTGACCTAGAGGTCCGATCCATAAGGCAGTGGAGCAACGTTACGAAACGCAATCCCATGGTACCTAGTGATCAACAATAGGTTCATCCACCATTTGTTCCTCAGGATCCAGGAGCTCATGTGCACCATTAATTTGGAATCAGGGTTTTCCAAATACCCTAGGTGGATCTTGCATACCCACCAAACCAGTTGAAGCGCTAGACATTCGCATTTTGTCCTCTCAATTAAGTGAAAACACCTCTGCCGCGAGAAGGCAGTGAGCAGAACCTACCTGGGATTGGTTGTATACGCGTGGCCATGTGCGAGCAGTTCGGGAGGGAGAGCTGACTCTTCCCGACCTCCGGTGTACCAAGGCATTTTTGGGAATTGATACGCAGTAATTTGTGGACAAGAAAACTAATTATGACTTCCAGCATCACACACAAATTCACTCAAAAAATTAATTCTATTTCGCTTTATCATAAGAGACAGAAAAAATAAACTGATAATTATTTCATCCCAAGATTTTGAGGGTTTTGTATCTAGGTGAAATTTCGTCATTTTTTTACTAGCACCTTCGAGAGAAAATTAAAGGAGTTTTAGTAAGAACTTTTCACTAGTGCGCAGTTCAATATTGTGGAGTGTGAGGAACGTACCCACCGAAGACAATGGAAGGTGGTCACAAAATAACGTTGACTGACAGGAGTTAGACATCTACACGATTTGATTGCGGTTCAGTGGTCATAAGATTGAGTACTCACACATATGACCAAGGGTTTTGGTTTCGATTCCCAGTTGTGGGGTCACGGATCCTTATTGATGGAGAGTCCCATAATAAGGTAAAACAGTTATCCTGGGTCTCTTAGTTTTTAGTGATTGTCTAACTTAGGTCGGTTTGTAATTTTAACAAGATTCTCTGACTGTTCTCTTTGGAACTCTTTTATCTTCTACAATGTCTGGTCAAATCAAAATAAAACGAGATACAGTAGTTCACATGAAATATGATTATACTAATAAACGTAAATTCATTACTCTGAAATAGAATGAAATTAGTTATTACATTTCATAAGGCCTAAATTCAAAAAATAAACATTGTAAACTTACAATCAACCTGACGCCAACTTAAATAATCCCTGAGAGTTTTATTCGTTGGATAAAGTATTACTCGGGAATCAAACGCTGGCGGATACAGTAATGGAGTATCAGGAAAATACTTTGGCCATTCAAAAACATATGAAGATGTGAACAACGAAACAACTGTACTGGATATTTTGCTAAAATATATATATTTATATGAAGAGCACACAAAACAAAGGAATTAAATTATGGATGGAATTGATGTAACGATAATAAATACAGAATCTTAAAAAATAAAAACAAAGCGAAAATTACCAAATGAATAAATGATAGGCATTTGGTCTTATATAGAGCAGATAGGTAGTTCTGAATGAAAAGATAAACAACTAATCAATGCATCTACATCAGTGGGACTGGCTCTGAACTGTGTCAATTTTAATCATTAGTTTAAGTTATTTTTTAAAACCCCAATGAAGCATCCTGCAGTTTATAATACATTAAAAATGACTGTTAATTATTATTTTTATGATCTGAAACTAACTAGGGAATCACTGAAAACCTGAGAGGACTACTCAGTATTTTAGTCCTTACCCGAGGACCCCTCACCAGTACACATCAAAACTTTAAGGATTAGCTGCAATTGTGATAAGAATAAGTCACTGAGCCGGAATCTAATAGGCCAAATTGTCAGTCGGTCAGTTTACAATAAAGTGATAGCATTATTTAATGAAATTGGTGATATCTGCTTCAGTCCCAATGCAGTTGAACGTCATCAGTTAGGATATTCTATTCAAACTTTTGGAATCCATCAAGTGAGTCACGATATGATATACACATATAGTAAAGTTAGATAGTCTGTGGAGATAAGTTCAGTTCGACATTAGTCTTCATTAAGGAATAATATCATTTGGAAGATCATGGAAAAATAACTAGCCAAACAGTAAACGACTTTGTTGTTTAGTGATATTTTTGAAATCTTATATATTACACAATGCATACATACGTTCTTATTAGTTAAGCTGATGAAAGCTAAGGAATTAATCAACTTATTTAATACCTATATAAAGAAAACTTTATCTAACCTCAAGAGTACTCACAAAATGTCTTCCCTATACAATCTTTCCTTACAAGATAATAATGACAAATTACTTGTTTACGGATAATATTTGAGCATGTAAAACATTGATAGCTGTACTGCATCACAAACAGGAGGGTTATAGTTTCGGATTTATGGAATGTTTTGAGGGAGATAACTGCTCACATATAAATTATCTTTATCACCTATTTTGGTAACTTGATATTAAGAGAAAATGTTTCCAAACAATGTAAATGTACAGCTGGGAAATATAAATAGAAATAACTTTCATTCTTTCAACTACCCAACTTGAGGAGAGATATCACATCTTGGCAAAAAAAGCTTTTTTTTAAAGGTTAGAATTATCAGCATATTGAAGACGGGTTTACTGGAAAATTATGATTTATTCAGACAACATGATGAGTAGGATAGTTTAGGAAATGGTGCAACTGGCTTTTAATTAACCGTAGGTATACGTTCGACTTTAGCCATATCCAATGATCTGAAGTCAGTATTCGGATGTGAGGCCTTATTGTATTATCTATCATTGAAAAGGATGGCAACAAGGTACATAGACTAAGGAAAACTCTTCATTCAGGTGCCATGGATAAATTCAAAGCTTATATTGGGTCGGTTAAACCAAGTAGAATTCTTTATAGCTCCTTAAATTTCCCACGGGGTGGGACCAGTTCATGAAGTCATTGCCTACTGTTATCAGTCATGCCACGAAGCGAAGACATTTTAGCTAGGGATTTCGAGTGAGATTGATAGGAAGCGATCGCAGTGACAAAGGTTTCAAGTTTCAATATCATTTTATACATATATTCCTCCATTTCAAACGATCTTTTCTAGAAATATTCTCTACATGGTAATCAAAAACGCTTCTATTACTTTCGGTAATGTAATTAGCAGACGAAGATTATCAGAACTATGTGATATATTAGCGCAATACATTTCGAACAATCCGATCACACATATACTTGTTAAGAGCATTCAACTACCATTCCGCTGCTATGTATCATTTTCATCCTATTAAACTGATGTGGCAACATGAAACAATGAACAATCACGTGCTGTATTAAAAATCACTGACTTGATTGACTGAGCTTCATTTAGGTCATTTTAAGCATAATAATCTTCAATATCATGCAATGAATTCGTAAAAGGTTGTTATCAAATAAAAAAGACAATTCATACTACTATTATCAGTCATGCTTTAGCAATTTTCTTTATTTTTATGCTTCATTACTTTTAAACTTTGGTGATATAGTAATCAAGGTTGATCACTATGAGTATCATCACTCACAGCTCTGATCTTAAATACCTCATATAGGTAATAATCACTGAACGTGCACACACACACACACATGAAATGAGTCGTCTTAAAATGTAGGTAATAATATCAGATTATTAGTTTTTCTAATTATTTGGTGGATAAATGAATTTGGCTACACAACGGTAATTATCAACCTTATTAGTTTTTTTATAGACGAATGTATGTGAATGGGTGTATGACTTCTTAATCAATACACACATCTTCACTTTACGATAATGCTGCTTTTTTGCGAAGAAATGAATTTACAGCAGTATAGGACTCCTCTACAGTGGGCATCAAGTTCACAACTCTCAAACATTGTGACAAGAAAGTTACTTTCAGTCATTAAAATTAGAATTTTTTAGTACTTATAAGGGACGATTTAGTCAAATTGTACTTCCCGATAAACTTCACTAACATTTAGCTAATTATATTACACCAAAAAATCTCACCGTAATGAAAAGTTGTCATTTAGAGAAGTTCTCAAAATACTTTATGATTTGAACAAAAAACAAGAAATATACATGATGACAAAATGTATCAACTGATTAAACTAATAATATGAATAATCTAAGCATTTACAACACAAGATTGAATTCACATGAAAATGTCAATGGTATTCATTGTATATGAGCATTAGTGAGACGAAAAATAACTACTTTGTCCTTGAATAACATACGATGATGGAAACATATTGATTGAGTAACTATACTTTTACATCACCTTTTATGTGTAAACAAAAAAAGGTCACTTGTTTCTAAGTATAACTTTAGTAGATACTTTTACGGTAATTATAAGCAGAGATGGATAGTGGTCAGGACGCGTGTTTCATTTATATATATATTATATGACAGCATTAAACTTAGTTTAAATAAAGTTTTGCATAGATTTTGGTCCGACAGTAATGTATAGTGAGCTAATAGACTTTCGTGAGTCGGATTATACTTAAAATAATTAAACATTTGTATGTTCTTAATGTTTTTGTTCAGACAGTAGAACCTCATTACCAGATACAGATTCGTGTACTTGACTTTGAATGAAAGTTTAGGTATGAGGGCTAATGATACTATCTGGTTCCCCAGACTGAAGTAAAAGAAGGTTTCGAACCTGAGACGTTGTGGTTAAAAGTCGAGCACCTTAACCTCTGAAAAACCGCTCCACATATGTGAGAAGTATATAATAATAATAATAATTACAATAATAATAATAATTGTATTGATCTTCCACTGATCTCTGTTTGGGTCGGGTGTATTGTATTAATAAAATGTGTTCGCAGTTATACCCATCCAAAATCCCCATCATCTCAAATACTATATATCGCGGAAAATGCTCAAATAAAATATCTGTAGATAAAATAAATCCTACAGATTCATCTATTAACATTATATGAAATGGGATACAGTAAGAAGATATAAAATGAAATACAAAACAGTTAATCTATACGATAAAGCCAATCATAAAATCTACCCTAGTTATATTGACTTTAATTTTGATGTTATAAACAGTATATATGATGTGACTCTTTTTCTTAAACCCTTGTTGATTCTTAATTTTAATTTGGACATATTTTAGTAAAAGTATAGTCTATGGGAATGAATAAAAAAGCAACCGTGACAAATTTTCAGCTAGTTCTTAGCCAATTAGAAAACAGACTTTGTAAGTAGGTAGTTTAAAAGAGAAAAATCTGTTGAAAGATAAATGAAGTAAACAATAGAATAACCGGCGGCCTGCTTGAATATCTGGGCTACCTGTTCCTCCGATCTAGATATTTCATCAAGTTATCTGTTTTGTTGTTTGTTTTAGCACATCACTATGTCTATTGTGCGCACAACCTATTCAGGCGCGTTTATGAAAAGTTTACAACCTTTCGCTATACGGGATACAAAAAAGTACAATCAGCGACATCATGGTTGCTGGCAATATGCATTGAAACAAATGAACAGTAATCAAATGTGGATTACCGAACTTCTAACATCTAACTGGTCATCATTCAAAATTTATCGTCACAATCGACCAAGGTATAAGAAAAGGGAACTTGTTGAAATACTTTATGCTGAGAATTCTATGTTGTACCAAAAATATAATGTTGAATAAAGCTTTTAATAATAATAATAATAATAATAATAATAATAATAACATTGTTCACTATACTCAAAACACATCGCTAAACTTCAGTATTTCTATTGGATAAAACAAGTACTGTATAAAGTTATATTTAAATATTCTAAATAAGATACTTCAAAAAGCGAAGTTATGTATGCACAATGTTTTACAGTTGAACAGACATTCTGACAGAACCAAAATCTATACAGTTTGGAATTTCATTCTGTACTTAGCTGTATGGGTGTTGAATTAATCCTCAACACTCTGGTTGATAAATACATTACCGTTCCAGCTATCACCAATAGTACATCAGCATAATTGAGCGCAAGCACATATTCTAGAGTATCTTTCAAAATTACACTGGGATAGTATGCCATACTTTCGAATACTAATGGTCAACTAATTGGGAAATAGATTTGACCACATTCATATATGTAAAGTTAATTAATAAACTATCACAGGCTAGTCACACAACTCAAAGGCAAACATAAATATAGAAATTTGTAGAACCAATTAACAAGACAACAATTATCTTACCTTGCTCGTCGATTAAACACTTCAGTACATTTTTTAAATACGAAACTAAACTCATCTGATTGACCATAAGCTAGAACAATTTCTTTCTGTCGTTGCATAACACGTTCTGCTGCACGTACTGACAACGATAAACCACGTGTATCATTTGGTTTGATAAAATTATGCTTTGCTGTAAATTTATGAAAACCTTGTCCATCTAAACGAACAACAATCCATGTGGAAGGAAGACAGGGATCCATAATTTCGAAATTTCGAACATATTCGTAAATACTTTTGGCCATTACTAAAAGGGTACAGTGAAAACCAGCTGAAAATATATCAAGTTATTTAGCCAAATTTAACTTATATCTATATAATATTGTTCAAAAAATGCACGGAATAACTACTATATGAAAATATCTAGAATGTGAGAAGATAACACAAAGTAATTTCATGATATTCACAGCTTTCATGCTGATCGAATGAATGTTACATCTAACGAATAAATTAATTACAGACTTATGTATTGGGCTCTGATTTACATTTACGGTATAAGGACTAATGAAATTAACCAGCTGCTTAAACAGAACTAGGGGAACGGGATACGAACCTGAGATCTTTTTACTGAAAGCCGTGTGCAATAACATTAAATAACAGCCGAACATAGCTCGTATTTAAGTGTTTAAGGGAACTTAGAAGAAAAAACTGTTTAATTCAGTACAAACTTCAAATATTTGAGTCATACAATGACCAATTCATGTACATAATTCAATTAAACACTAACGTGATAAACTTATGGAAGAATCCACCATTAAGACGTGCTAAAAATGATGGAAAACCAGTAAAGATAAAACAGTCGGAAACAAAATTATCAGGATAGATTGACTGAATACTTATAAAGTAATGAAAAATGTTCACTTAAACTGGAATTAAACGCTGATGAAAACTTCGTAATTAAGACATCCAACTCAGAAAACTCATTACTACCGAAGATACCCTTGAAGAACAAAACTTAAACTTAAAGTAAGAGACCAAATTTCTTGAATTCTAAGTACTATTTAACTGCTCATAACCAACAGGGAATAAATCAAACTCAAAAATCTAACACCAGTCACAAATATATAGAAAAAATAAACAGAGTTGATTAAATAAGAAATGTGACTATCAAATAAAAACAATCACATATTTTTTTAGTGTAATAGAAAGTAGTACATTTTTGTTATGAGGATAAATATCAAAATGTCAACTATGGTTATATATTTTATACGAATATTTGTCAAGATTAGAACGAATAGTTTGACAGAAATTGGGCGCTAAGTAAAAAGAAGTCATTATATATATTTTAAAACTGCTAACTTACTAATACAATATACCATTTTAAACTGCTTGTTGAGCAAAAACAGTAAAAATTCTCAAATGATGAATAGTAAGGAATGAAAATGAAAGGGATCAGAACATAACAAGTCAAAAAATTAATTATCCAATAATTATTATTTATTTATTTAAGCACATAAACATTGGTACAAGAAGGTACCAAATAGATATGCGCCACATAAATCATTCGATTTGCGTGAGGACTGGAATACTGCCCGGGTGCCCAGACCGAAACAGGTGATTTTCTTAGGGGGCCACACGCCGAGCCTTCGACCTAAAGGTCTGACTCACAAGGCAATGGAGCATCGTGAGGAGATGCAGTCCCATGGTAGCCGGTGACCAACGATTAGTTCATACGCCATTTGTTCCCATAGGATACTGGAGCCAATGTGCACCATTGGTTTGGAATCCGGTTAAAGCGCCGGACACTCGCTTTTCGTCCTCTCAACTTCTTAACACAACCCTCGCCACGAGAAGACAGTGAGTAGGACTTCCCTGACAGAGGCTGTATATGCGTGGCCGTGTGAGAGCATTTCGAGTGGGAGGGCGGGCCCACCCCACTCTCGGTCATACTAAGGCATTTGGGGGCAATCCAATAATTACTTGTTTACAAAGTGGACAATAGATATGTTATGTTACAAAATAGTACAAATTATTCATCATATAAATAAATTCAATTGTTTAAAAAATAGTTAGTCGTAAATTAGAGAAAAACTTTGACAGTACATTTTTCAATTAATGATTATCTTTAATTTCTTTTTCCAGGAGAAACATATCATATGATGCAATTTAAATTGAAATAAATACAAATGAATGGTAAGCTTTTCATAATAAAATAGAAAACCGAATTTTCGAACTGACATGGTACTCGAAAATACACATAATAATAATAATAATAATAATAATAATAATAATAATAATAATAATAATAGTAATAATAATAATAATGGCGAAAACCTAAAAACATAGATTATATGTGCATGTGTACATAAACAATGTTGGAACTAAGGTACAATGATAACAAACAATAGATATTGATGTTTTATCTCCAAATATAAACTTTATTAGGCTACTGCAATCACGTATAAAGAAGGATTTTGTTTTTTTAATTATTTACATTCAGAATTACTTGGACTAAACTGTCCGATTACTTTCTTTTCTTTGTAGCTGGTGTTTAATTTTAGTTATTAGACCATAAGAATGTAACAACTACTATTAGAAATAAATTAAAGCAATGAATAACCACCTATTTGTAAGAGTTTGTATTTCCCGTTTCAACAATAAAGAAAAAAAAATTGTACCCTTTGTATAAGCTAGTAACTATATGGGCTCAGTAACTCAGTGGACAACACCTTAGGTGCTTAAACCGAAAGTACTAGATTCGAATTTCAACATGAAAATCAGTACTGGGATGCAAGTAAATAAACTTAACGATTCATGAACAGCGGAAAACACGATTCCCAGATTCTATTATCAGCCATTATCCAACTGTTAAAAAAAGAATAACTAATTTTGTCAAACTCTTTAAAAGCACACTCCTATATTCTTTACAGTTTCGTACAATTGATAATATTAACTAGTGGCTAACTAAAGTAACAAGGATGTTCACATATTCTAACGAGCCGTAAATAACGACAAAGAAGAGGAAGATCAAAGAACACATTGCACCGAAACTGGAAGCAGACTTGAAATAAATGAATAGCAACTGGAAAGGATTTCTTAGGACAGTTGCACGAAGAAGGCTGGTCGGTGGCCTATGCTCTTCCACGAGTGGTAACAGGTGTCAGCAAGTTAATTTTCATTATGGCTATTAAAGATTACAGTCAGATGTCGTTTTACGGATCAAGTGAACTTCATTAAAGAATTTCTGCATTTACATGCTGATTCAAAAGGGTGTGATAGTACGACTGATCTGGATAGTATATACAATGGTTAATATATTTATAGTCATTTAACCGATTGTACGTATACTAACTACCTATAATTTAAATATATCGTTCATTTATACGCATCTTCCAATCCAAACTACTAGCAGAGTGGAGATGTGGTGGTTAAACTAGTCGACTTTCAATCATTACACACCATTTACTTTGACATAGCCACTGACAGACAGTACATGACCGGGTCTCAAACAAAAACACATGGTTCAAAGATGAGTCAATAAACTTGTTATATCAATTTATAAAATTTAGACTACTAGTTTACTTCTAGGTAACAAGTACAATGTAAAAATAAAATCGAATCCTAACTCATTAGTAAGAATGCGTTTCAATGAACTGAAATAATCAAAAATAGCATAATGGAGTAGGCCATAGAGATGCATTTGAAATCGTCAATCATAAATGATTTACGAGTATCACACTATACACATTACAAATGAATGGCGTATAGTGATAAGACGAACGTTTTTCCAACCACTTTATTTGTGGTTGCTAGATTAAATATTTAAATACTACCATGCGTCGAAATAGCTGAGCGAAATTAGCAATCATAAAGCCACCACTTTCGAGGTTTCTATTTCATGAAGCTATATAATATGCATGCGATTTACGAAATGTTTATCCACAAAAACATGCCTTTTTAAAAAGTTGTTTTTACTCTTACCAATCACGTTGTTCTTTTATTTAAAACTTCTGGTCTTCATTCTAATACACTACGATTCATTATTGTCTGCTTTACAAAGAAATTGTTTTGTAAAGAATTTAAAACTATCTCCATAATTGCATCTGGTGTTAAGCCCTAAGTTGTGAGGATCGACACTCTCATTCTCTCCTATGTATAATATTACTGTAAGAAATTAATTTGTCCTACAATTCTTTTTTGATTTTTCAACCTAGAAAAATCACAACTAGAAAGTAATTCCATGGCATCATGGTTTCCCAAATTACTATTTAATTTTTCAACTATAATCAGATCAGTGTTATTCTAAGTAAGAAACGAACTAGAACACGTAGAATGAGATAAAAAATGATTCTTATTAATTCAACAGTATGAGGTAAGATAGTTAAGTAGATTCTTCACATAGATTGACTGCAATGCCTCATAGGTGGTATAAGACAACTGTCAGATATGCATTGGATTTCAGTGTTGGTATTCCGTTGGTTCCCATTGAAAGTGGTTTAATTAAATTAACTCACATTATAAAGTAACAGAAATGGTACTAAACGAGTATTAAGAATAGAAAGTATCAAGAATCGTCACTAAGGCAGAAAGCTTTTTTCAAACTGAGGTCAGTCTCAACTACAGACTAAGACCAGCTAGTTTCGGTTAAAATCAAATAGAACTAGACAGGTGCCTGGTGTTTATCAACTGCCACTCTTTCATATTCGTCACTGCTACCAATTCATAGTTATATTACCTAAAGTCACCTAAAGTTACGAACTAACAATACCCGTCATTTTGTGGATTCAAGCGAAAAATTTAACACTATCCCTTACGGATAAAATCAAAAAACATTCAATAAATCACAACACACAACATAAGAATGAGCTACCTCAAACAATGTAGATCAATAACTCCGAGTTCAAAGAATCATATAACACTGCTCATTAATTATGCACTTAACAAAAAACTAACAGATTCTTCAACAGATTAATTTAATCTAACGGACTTCAATGCTTAACAGTAGTTTTAAGCGGTTTATAAATAGAGAATATGTTCTACAAAACTGATCACTAGCATATCGGAAGAAAAAACCATTTCTAATTTGAACAATATATCCGTTTACAATTCAATAATTGGTATAAATTGACAAAACTCACAGTCAATGAACTCGAATCTTGGATATTAGATTGAGGGTCAGTTTTAGTGCACTTACAAAAAACGCTTATTTACAACCTAATATATATATTCATAATTACATTTAAGACAGGTTAACTTGTAATCATATTGATAATGTTCTGCGCTGATACAACTGATGATTAGTTGTTTGTAGATATAAATGCAGGTAGTGAAAGAAACAAAACAAATTATTAATAATTCTATCTATTTAGCCACAATAAGTCTTCACTTCATACTAAAACTAAAATAAGTGTATGAAACAAACAAATCTACTGAAAAACTTGTCACCAAAAATTACTGATCTATCCATTTAAATTACTTTCGCCTCGAATGTACTATAAGTTCGTAAGTCAAATGAATATAATTTCGGATGAACATAGTACAAAATGATCACAGAAACAAATCACATCTCAATCGCTACCGTCTCAAATGGAAAATACAATATTTTGATAAGATATTTATTGAAGCAACAATAACAAGAAGCAGTCTATGAAAATAACGTGATCACAAAAAATGATCCAGTGGTGATGACAGTTATTAGTATGAGAGCAACAAGACAAATAAGAAGTGATTTGGTCTGTAAAATAGTGCCACAAAAAAAACGTGTTTCAATTCATTGTTTAACTTAGTGTTTGAGGAGTGACAAACACAATAGCATAGATCAAAGCAACACAACAGAAAATCGGTCAAAATAAGGGGATAATGACAAAACATGAGAACTTGAGTATTTACTCCAATGGATTCATGAGCAAGTCAGTGTTACGGTGATGATAACAGAATAATGTGTTTATCACAAATATTGAAAAAACGAAAATATTCTCAAATAATTTGCAGATATTAGGCATCCATTGGGCCTTTTTCGGATGATTTCTCACATTTTATCACATCTTCGTACAATGGGACCTTCACATTCATTGCTTCAACATACGTTGGTAAACGAGTATACTGGAAGGAAAGAAAACGCGTCATGTACTTACAAATATATGGTAATCATATGCAACTGTGTTAAAAATAAAATATAAGCATAAATGGGTGATGTCTAGCAACCGAATCCAGGACGCACGTTTCGTCTGGTGTGGGACTCTTTAACTGAATGTACCCACATTCCAAAGTTGTTTACTCCGGGACTTGAACTCGGTGCTGTTCACTAAAATTGCCACTGCGTTTTCCACTCAGCTACTGAGTCCGAATAGCCACTGGTTTATACAACAGAGTGGAGAGACTGATCAATTGTAGTCCAAATTATCAATGAGAAGATTCGAACAATCAATACAAATATATTATTTATTTATAACAATCTACCCCGTGCTCAATTTATTCGAAATTATCAAGTCAAGCCATGGTAACGATACCTACAAATTAATACAAATGAACTGAAAATAAGATATTTCTTAATATATCATTTCAGAATGCAACACTTTCACTAGGATCTATAAAAACCAGTGAAAATAAGTGGGAGATTGACTGATAAATATAATAAAACTCAAGTGACTTTTTTAATGTATCCACAAATTTATTTTTCCATAAAATAACGAACTTTATGTCAGCGAATTTAGGTACAAGGATTCATGGTAATCTCTCGCTGATATCCAGTAAAAAGATTTAGAGAAAATGATGGATTCTTGACAACAAAAGTTTTTTTTTCAACTATGAAAGCTAATCTTACACATACTATAACATTATTCTCACGTCCTACAAAACTACTACAACAAATTATAGTAGGAAACAAGTGAATATTGTACAACTACATCGAATATTAACTACTATGGCTTCAGTTATGACCACTTCGATGTAATTAACGAAAACATGACACAATATAAACCTTCATAAATGCTAGTGGGCAAGTTATTGGTACCTCCATAACATAAATATACACGATTTTCTGAATAAACTATTTGAACGAATTCTCCCAGCGTTACAACTGATCAGAATCGACGTAAGCTACTGGTATGCAATACTCGTATAATCGAAAACCATGACTATATGATTCCTATTTGGTTAGGAAAATATGACTACATGAATATTCTATTTGTAATACATTCCAGTTAACTTTTAATTGCAACACTTATAACAGAACTTAAAAAATCGACAGCGTAGTCGCCTTGTTTCAAATACTTTTTAATATTTGATCAAATTCTTGGCGATTGTTCAGTTTTTCGGTTTGGATATTCACTAATTGGTTAAAAAGATTCTGTAACCTCCCTTGAAGTTTGAAAATATTAAGCTATTATTTCTAATTGTTTTGCTTTTTTGGTACGCCTACAACTCTTTATATTTTGACTTCTGATCTAGCCTTGTCAATGATAGATTGTTCAATAAGAAATACAGAATAATTTGAAATTATTTACTTTTGAAGACAGGTTTAATTGAGGTACCTTATGGCTTGTTGCGGCTACATAATGAATATTTCACTTTTGAATGTCACACCAACACGATGTAGAAGTAATCTACATACTTAGAATCTAGTATTAGGAAGGTCGATGAATAAGTCCTCTTACATTCGTATGAGACAAAGCTCAAAGTTGGTCATTAATTTTATTAGAATACGCTGATCTGAAGTTTTTATTAGTGCCTTATTTTGTTAACCAAAATGAGCTTCACTTTTACCGTAGACCAACAAAATTTTCGAACGCAAATTTTGTATAACTTTCTGATATCCTTGATTAAACAAACTGGCTATCTCGTACAGCAATTCACTGTCAAGGTTTGCATGACTTACCTCTATGTGCCGATGTTCACGAACACGACAAGCATGAATAGTTAACTTCACCATTAATAATAATATCACAATCAACAATGCGATAAGCAATGGTAATAAAAGTGGTCGAAACATAATATGACGGAAAAAGTAAGTAGCTTTTCTAACAAATGTAGGTTGGTGTTCATAAAAGGTTGATTCACCATCATCACCGATATCATGTACACGAATAACATTCTTATCATTATTTTTTACAGCTTTGAAATAGGCATCATCATCTTGTGGAATAACTTCACGCAAACTAAAGAGTGGTTTTATATTGAATGGTGAGTCCAGTGGATTTTCATGTGCGTCATCTAAGAAATGAAAAAAGTACAAACGCTTCTCAAAAACAATGTGTCGCAGACATTTCTTCCGACTATTAAACAAAAATATTACATATGTATAAATCTGCCCCAAAGAACTGCATCTATAGGTGGGGAATTTGTTCGGAAAAAACTAACACATTAATAAATCGAACTTTTATATAGAAACGTGTGATGCATGATACACGAAACTTGACACTAATAAACTGACTGATGTCAAAGTTCAAAACAACACAATATACGATACCTAAATTGAAACCAATAGCTTACAGTCCGACATCTCGCTAATGATCTTTTTTGGTTTAATTATCAGGTGGTTTGTTCCATATAAAACATCTACCGACCTAGTGAGGGAGATTACATATTAGATCGAGCGATATTAAACTGACCTTAACGTTATTTCCCCCACCAGTTCACATGAGATAAATAACTCCAACAATATTTGAGTAAATAACAAGTTTCTACACTTCTATGATCTGTCTTATACTGACAAGCAATATGACACATGTTCTTTGACAAAATGGAATGCAGTGTTCAGATAATGAAATATAGCAACCGCTCCCACCCAACTGGTACATACTGACCAAGTACTCTGGGTAGGTTACCGACTGTCGAAAAGCAGGAATAGATAATTTAGGAATAACTAATTTCAACTTATATCATAGTTGGGCATAAATCCCCTACACAAATTTTATCTTAACCGTTTTAGGGGGTTGAAAAGGTCGGAATGATAGTGGTAGCTGAAAAACGTAGACAACCAGTCAGCATGTCCGAACAATGGTGAAAAGAAGTTAAAGGCATAATAAAATCTAAATCTGAAGCTGATAACAAACATTGCTTAAAACTTACATGGAGCGAAGTTATGGAAAATGCGAACGCGTGATATGATCACATGATTACCGGAATCTGAATCAGTGTCGCTCTCTACCTTATTAGCTTTGGTATCCACACTGGCTCCCGAACCTAAAGAAAAAGAAGAAAACGCTTCGGAGCGTCAGTGGGAGAAAATAACGTAATAAATGCATGAAAATTAATCGTAGCAGGGTTAAAGAGATATTATCACACGTTTACAGCTGGTCAAGTTAGTGTGCGCTCTAAATACACATTATCTACGGCTGAGATAAACACCAGCACTTATACAATTATGGAAATCTTTATTTGATCACTAAATTGTATTAAATTTCTGCACTGTCATCTCAAGTGGACTCAACATTTGCATTTTAAGAAAAGGATCCTATGTCATTCGATATTCACTACTTTTAATCTGAAAGACTCCCAATTTGAAGTGAATGATATGTCACTTCAAAATATCAAAATATATTTATTTTACAGAAGTAGAAAACTGGGTTTGGTAGCTAAAACGTTCGGAACAAAACTCTTGGAAAAAATACTAGGGAGTAAGAATATGTACAAACATTGAGTAAGTAATTTAGGAAATCATACCGTTATTCACACCAAATAAATTACGGACCCTGTCGAAGAATGTGCTGAAGAAGCTGAAAAGACTAGTTCATATTTAATTTTCACATTACTTTTGAACTGGCAGGAACCCAACAGATATGTGACTTGGAGTTGCACAACAACCTACTTTGCAAGCAGCAACCAACTTTGTATCCGACTTGTATACATCATCACAAGATTCTTCACAAGTAAATGTTGCCAACAATGAATTCAAGTTTGACAGGACACAACCTCTGGAACACGCATCTTCTTCAGCCCCCTACAAAAGAGTCATATTTGATTATTTCCGTACGATAACAAGAAAATATTTGCTAAGAAAAAGAGGAAAGCGAACTACCGATTTGCAGTTGAAAGCATGGCACATGAGAAATGACCGGACAATGTTGAAATCGCTGTAGATCCATTTAGACTAGCATATCGTGGTATGTAATTAATGGTGATCATAAACAGGTTTTAGACCTAGGTACTCGTAATGCTATTAATAACTACTGTAGTCAAACAACTTAATTTTAAACCACTTCAAAATCCCTGAAGGTGAACTGGCCTTTGTTAAATATATTACAAACAGCTCTAATTGCACCAAGATTAGTTTACTAAGTCATTTTATGAAGGAACGCCAGAAAGTCGTCAGATGTTAAAAGTTTCATCTGAATCGAACGATTATCAAAGCCATGACACTAAGCAAACTTCAAAGAACAGATAGCCCAGCTATGAAAAAATTAAATAGTAGCAAGCAGTAAAAATGAGTGACAATAACTGGTAACTATTTACACTAATAAATCGCCTACCCTTCAAAACGTAACGACAGGCAAATTTTTTCAGCAGTCACGAGTGCCATTTTATTGTGCGACCGACAGTTTGCTTCCCCGTCGGAATATGATGACCAGAATGAAAGTAAAACTAAAGTATTTTGTAAAACGGTTAACAAACTAGGAATTCTGTGAAATGGTGACTAACGAGAGGCCTACATGCTATTTGTGAAGTGGAGGAGATTCAACCCGTTAAAAAATTTACCCTTTTCACATGCGTGGCAGTCCAAGTTGCTATATTACATGGAGACGAAGTTATTATTAAATAATAAAAAGCGAGAATGAAACAACTCTTTAGTAAACTAGTTGAAAACTACCTAAAATAATTCAGAAGTATTTAAAGCTCACACATCTGCAAAGCATTTTCTGCTTGAAGCAATCTAGTTACGCCGAATCGGAACTCAGTTGGGAAACTTACTCCCAAGCTAGTTCACAGTAACTAAGCTACAGAATAGTCAGTCGAATAAGTCAGCTACAACGTAAGACCAATCACATATATGCATCGGTCCAACTTTTCATAACTCATTAGCACAATATGAACACCAAATCCATAGTAGTTAATTCAATGGTAGTAATATATAAAAGAAAGATTGTGTTTAAGGATATAGTGCAGGAAGAAAGATATAAAGCAATTCTACTCTCACAGTCTAAGGGTAGACAAAGAGTATATACGCTCACGCCATTGTGATTGGTTCTGAACAATGTCACCCAGAGTCTCCAAACATTATAGAATAACTCTCTACAGGAATGTACGTTGGGTGGCAACAGAAACTAACGTGAATTTGATTATGTTCAATGAATGAATACTTTAGTCTGATTTAAAGCGAAAAAACGCAGATGCTCACTCCTGAAACCCGGAAACAATAAATTTGATGATACCTCTTAAAATGCATAAACTTAAAAGCATTTTGAATTCCCTAGGTGAAGACATTCTTAGAACCAAAATTTGAAGAGACATGAGCCCGAATTTTGGCAAGACTATAATTTATGGACGAACAAACTAGATTTAAGACAGCAGGTCTTGAATTTTGAGGCAAAATCCATTTACTCACTTGGCTAAATACCATTTTGGCACCAAAGCTTACGGTAGTTCGCGATGAAAACGTTAAATCTAGTGCGTAACCTTAACATACAATTGTATATTCTAATCCTGATTCCTCACACTAACCCAGAACCCTCATTTAACCTAAATAATTTAGTGAACATTCTAAGGTCACTTTAGCGCAGTTCAAACATCATCCATAATTTACAATCTCACCGCTAGAACTCATTAAGTTTGCATATTGCAACAAGAATATAGAATACCGATAAGTCATAACCACACGACTCAGATACAAAATACTGTCGACTAGCCTGAGATTTTCGGGGTTATTACTAGTTGTTTTGAAACCCTGAACGATTAATCAAGGCAATATGGAGGCAGTTTAGGACAACATAGTTTCTGACATAGCCAATGGACACGAGTGTAGTATTTTTGAAACCGTACCAACAAGTTAATGACAGACTGAACAAAAACTTGAACTCTGACAGTGAACAGACACCTGGATGTTAAGAGAAGTGAGAAAATTGTCGAAAATAACAATGTGAACCTTATATAACTGCATCCACGAACATATGATCTAGGTAGACTATACTTACATCAAATTTAGTGACGCAAACTTCTTGACAAGTTTTCGGTGTTGATGGTAACTCAACAGCATCAACGAATGAATAAAAAAGGGCGAACAAGGGCACAACCAGAACTCTCATCATCAAAAACGAAACCAAACGCCAGTAGTCTTGTTTACAGAACTAGTATGTTCAAACAACTGTTAATTAATGTAACGTAACCTTATAGGTCTCAAAATGTTCAATCATTCAACTAATAGTTTTACAATAATCTTCGAGAAGAATTGGATTGAACACCTGTACGAAAATCTTTGTATATGATTTTTATATTACACTGTTACAAATCATTTGAGTCTTGGTGCAAATAGCATTAGAACATCACCTCACTAGGACTGAAGTTTGATTTATAAGCAGCCAGGCGTCTATGGTTAGGACGCCTGCACATTTTTCCGAAACAATACAATAACCTCAGCTATCCTTCCATCCTAATACCTAATTCCAGACACTGATATAATAAGGAAGTTATTTATTCACTACCAGACAAAAGTAAGGATAGTATGGTCAGATCAGTGTACTGGTTGACATATATGCATAAAAATAGCTTTACAATTTGTTCAGATAACATGTGCAGTTTGTGGTGATAAAATTCATACTCATCGGCGAAAAAACGTCAACGCCGACTGTAATACGATAAATAGTTCAATAGTGCGAAACCATGAACTTAAATAGCTCTTCAAGTTCCACTTCCAAACGGTATCTCATCTGTCAACAACCACATTGCATGTCAACACAGACTCCAATCATCCTCACGGAATCTCCATTTTTGCGAATGTCATTCGGCCAGTTTGGCTCAAAATTTGTTTGGGATCGCTGCTAAGTGAACCACGTAACTGTCGGTAAAGACTTCCTAATAATTAAGCTTCAGGGGTGTCAGTGAAATCCCACTGAATGTCGAACCTTGTGAAGGTCAACGAAAATCAACGTGAGTGAACCAACTGCACAACATGGACAAGCGCACGTGGAAATGTTTCTACCTTGTAGTTCTGTAAAGGGAAATTCTAGTATATGTTGTCGCTTATTGAGAGCTTTTATTCCGGAAAGTCACCTAAGAAAGCGATTCATCCGATTATCACGTAGAGAATTCCAGAACTCCACTGATCGCCAGGTGTAACTTTGATAAAGGAAAAGAAATCACACCATTCCCATTTTTCGGCTACAACCCGATCATCGACACAAATCAGCAACACTGATCTATGCTGGTAAGATCTTAAAATATGCAGCCATAAGTACTTTGGTTATTACTTTATTTTTTGCATCTTCCTTCATTGTGTAAGTTTTTTGGTTAGCGTTAATTTTAAATGTCTTATTTTGGCACTGATTAGTACTGACAGAAATAGCAGGACAACCACCGTTATAAGCGGCTCTCATAGTTTTCCCGCGAACATTGGCAGCGTGTCGTGCATCTGTGTAATGTCTGTTAAAACATCCACCCCTCACAAACATAGCCACAAGGCAACGCGGATGCGCATATGTCTGCAAATTATACACTTAATATGCATAAGCCTAGACTAGCTTTCGACTATGAGTTCATCTTCCTCATTTTTCACATCACATCATGCTCTATTATTCACCAAAGACCATCCTCAATACTTTTCTCAAATTTGAATACTGCTTACTAAATTTTCAATGAATGAGTTCTGGGGTCAAGCAGAAAATAAGAAAGCAGGAAATCGACGTTATGATTGGGACTTATGTCCTGGAAGTTTAGACTTCATTCATATTATTGGTTCAGTCAGTGCTACGTATTTGGCTTGAGTCAGTTTTTGACCGATACCGAATAAATGTATAGGGCTACGCGAATTCAAGAACTAAACTACATACCATATTTAATCCAGATTCGCTCGTGTTTATGTAGATTCGAACGATCTTCATTGCGTGAGTGTCAGAATGGTTTAAAGGATTTTCGCACTAGGTTATTTCTCAATATATTTATGATGTTTAGCGACTTTTAATAGTTACCTCCACAAAAAAGCTTATTTTCGACCACTTGTTATTTGTTGTCGAAATCGTGTACATTTATGACTCGCAAGACAATATACTATGAAGAAAGGCATTGATTGTTAACAAACTACCTTACACTAGGTTGTGACGTTAAATTCCGTCGTATTATCGCGCATACTACAATAACTAATACTACATGTCAAACGTTTCACAACATCCTCGTCGCAAATGTCTGCGATATATGTGTGCTATCAGAACTAAGGCGAACTGAAAAGTCAAATTACTGTTGAGGTTGATATTGTTTCGAGTGCTTTAGCCTGGTCGAAATCTGTAACAATAAGGCTAGATGATGGACGGTAATTAGTTTTATTAAATTCAAAGATGTATTATTACCTAAGCAAAAAGTAACACACAGTTGTTCAGCAAACAATTGTTCAAGTAACAATCGGACCTTAAGAACTGTTTAAGACAACACAAAATAACATCAGCACCAGGTTACTGTGAGTTTCTTCCTGTTTATCCTATATTAACTTTTTACTCTTCTGTACACTATATGGACTAGCACTTAATATTATTTCTCCACTCGTTACCTTATCCACAACTCATATACTTCTATACTCTTCTGCCTGCTTTAATAAACAACTATTCTACAATATACATTTCTTAGGGCTTATACTCTGATTGGCAAACTATACTTTATACTATAATCAACAAAAGCACTGCATCGATGCCTTGCCCACAGTCCGTAGCTTGTAACTACCTGATAAGCTTGTAAAATGGTACTTATAAAAATAGTGCTTTCCAACAGATCGTGGAACACAGAGGATTGTGTGAGATATGACATTTATACAAAGATGAGCTTAAATGAGCCTAACATCACAAAAGGAGGGAGGGCGGACTTACTCACCAGCAAGGATTGATGGTGAAGGCGATAACTTCAATCCACCCGTGTTTGTGAGGGCAGAACATTTTGTATGTATCAGGCTCTTTATGACTGAGAATAAGTCAATCAATCTGTGATATAGATTGGGCGAGACTCTAATTTAGGGACGACCTTCGAACGAATCATAAATGACCCTGACAGTTATTGGCTAATCAGAAGACAGTTAGTATAAAGTAAAAAAATATTTTAAGAAAGTAATGAATTACAGTGGATATTCTTCTTTTATATGATTTAAGAACCTGTTAAGGTTTGATAAAGGTTCAGAGGTTCTGAATTCATAATGCGTACGGCATAGAAACTCGTCCATAGGGTTAGGGTTTAGGGTAATTTAACTGTTAGGGTTAGGAATTAGAGTTAGGGGTTAGAGTTAGGATTAGGTTAGGGTAAGGATTAGGTTAGTGTTCAGGTTATGGTTAGGGTTAGAGTTGCGATATCCTTATTTAGGGACGAGCTAAAAAGAAGCGTTTGAGCAATTTCAAGATCATGGAGCCAAGTTCAACACGTGATGCTAACATACGATCGGTTTACAGCGGATTTTAGATCAGAGGTGTTTATTGAGAGGCTACAACCCTAACCCCTATCTCCTAACCCTAAATCCTAACTCTAACCCTATGGACGAGTTTCTTTACCGTACGCATTATAAATTCAGAACCTCTGAACCTTTATCAAACCTTAACAGGTTCTTAAATCATATAAAAGAAGAATATCCACTGTAATTCATTACTTTCTTATATATTTTTACGTTATACTAACTGTCTTCTGATTGGCTAATTATTGAAATTGCTCAAAGGCTTCTGATTGGCTCGTCCCTAAATTAAAGTCTCGCCTATAGATTGTTTTCCTACGCTCACCACTCAGACTCACGTTTCCAATATTATGCTGGATTAGCTATTCTACTAAGACACCCTATAACATGCTAACTCGGACTTTTACACTAGGATTGTGTGGCCGGCATCGGATAGACAAAAAAATAGATAACAAAAGATATAGTCATTAGTATTCTTAACACTTCACTCTCTATATACACACCCTTCTAATAAACCGCTTTCCTTGTACCAGCCTTGACTTCCCTTCCTTCATGTGAGCTTACTCCAACTTGTTAAACGACACAACTCATTGTTCTCTATTACTACGTTCTCTAATATAGAGCCTCTAACTTCATTTCACTCTAACAAGATATGATATGAATTTATGCTTATTTATTATACCTCTGTCCATTCTACTACACAATGTTAAGCAACGTTTGGCGTTCATATCCAAGTGCCTTTCTGCTCTTCTGTTTCTCTTTTTTTTCCTCTTCACAAATTTGCTCTGAGGGCACAGCTATGAAAATTATGATGTCTGGAACAAACTTGACGTACGCGTCTCCTCAAGGTAACGGTTTACAGCAAGCGCCCTACCGGTATACTTTATAACGACTATAAACTTAATAAGTTGAGGGGCATTTTGTGATTTATAGATCATGCCTGTAAAAATGGCTTGTACCTGCACATGCAGAAATATATTGCTATTATTATTATTATTATTATTATTATTATAAGGTACATATACTGATAAAGGATATAAAGTAGTTACCACGTTTACCATACAAGAATTCTAACAAATCTAGTAATGTTATTCTGCCTTTTCTGGATGGATCACTTATAGACTGTTTGGTAGATAATATTCAGTCCTATAAAAATATCAGTCACAAGGGTATCAAGAACTAACAGTTATAAAACTGAGCGTTTCATCTATCAGAAAATTGCATCACCTCACAATTAAAAATACATGATTCCTGTAAGTCCAAGTGTAACAGATTTACTACCTTGTATACGAAAATGCATGGAAAAAAGTCTCAATTTACAACCATCTATATGCACAGTGATAAAAGTTACAATAACGTGTAGTAAATGCATTTTTTCTAGTGCGAATCCTAATCAACAACCAGCTACCACCAAACTTAGTTGCTTTCATGCTGCAGATCCAAACTTCGATCCAGGCATTTTCTCCATAAAACCGTCACACAATGCGCTCGTCGAACTAATTATATCTTTATACTATTGAAATCTGCCTTTCGACTCTTCATGGGCACCGTTTTCTTTACAACTTTGCCTATTCTTTGCCACTTTACACTGTTTCAAACGGTTGAAATTTATTGTTAAGTTCCCTATTTGTCCTTTTATCTCTTCAGTGCAGTCATAGATATTCTACGTTATCTGTCAGTGAACTCAGTAGGGTACACTCTACTCGTTGCTATGCTCAAATCATTGATGACCAGGGATG